GTATGTGGCTAGGTAGCCAGTAGTTATGCATGTATTTAGATTTTACTATATATATTTGAAAAAATCTAAACATATAAAATCAGGCGGCTTTGCCGCAGATAAAAATAAATAAAAAAATCAGTTTTGAATGTAAAGCAAAGAGTCTGTTAGCCTTCGTTAAGGTACTAACTACTCTTGAGGTAGCGGATTGCGATCCGCTACAGTCGTATTGGTTCTTGTAAAGAACGATTGGTCGGTGAGCTTTCTCAAGCGCAAAGTTACGGCATCCCCGCTACACGTTCCCCTTGATAGAATCTTTATAATTTACTTGAAGGCTCAACGAAACCATCGACAAGTATCAGATACACAAAAATTATATTCTACGCGAAATTTGCAATGCCTCTAGTAACTATCTAATGTTTTCGATAGGCGCGCTTCGAATTTATTAGCACGGTGTATTCAATCAAAACTTAAGAAGAGTATCTGGCTTAAGAATTGCATCGCATTAAACGAGACCAATGCGAGATGAAAAGATGCCGCACGTTTCAATAGGCGCAGGATGTCTTGCCACGCTTTGACACTTTCCGGTGAAAAGCTTGTCATCAGACCTTGCGTGATGCCGACCCTTCACATCTCAAAGCCGGGGGCGTACGGAGCACGCCAGCCAGAGATGCTTTGCAATATCTCAAGTAATGCATTGACGGAAACCGCGGAGTTGCAAAGCAGCTAAGCGACCTCTCTCTTCTTTCTCAGTATGGCTGAGATTTATCACCTATAGCATGCTCGTTCATCCTCCGATCTGAGCGCCCCAACTTGACATGAGTTGGGCCCGTATTGAATGCGACAAACCTCGAAATAATAGGGTTGACGCGGAAGGTCTAGGGGCGATCCGCCCCCGTTCCATGACAATGTTAACCAGTACTGCCTTAGGGAGAGAGTCAGACATCATTGCGGCTATTAGAATCTTAACTTTCTGGATATAGTTCTACAATTTCGCCTCCTTTGACGGGTAGACTAGAGTCTCAAACGCACCATATACACCTGTTCAAATGTTTCGAACGCTCGCAACATTCGTCGCTTTGAGCCGTCTCACGTCGGGATGCTTTATACCGTAGTATAACATGTGCGCTATCACTGTGGCTTCGTCTGGAGCTAGACTGAATCCGTGGCATCTTATCTTTTCTCATTGATGGGAGATATTCCCTTCATCTCGACCATCAAATGCCTGAGCGCTCAACATCAGCGGTCTCACGGCGCATCCCACCGACGCCCGGTTGAGGCTCTCCTGACCGAGCCTAACCAGCGCATTCCAAAGGTGACGAGAACATGCAGGACCGCTTTCGGTACGTTCGCTGCCAACTTCTGCTCCCATCGAAACCCAAGATAGATAGAGCTTGAAAAGTTGGTCTTCTTGCCTGAAGACAGGCGTTTTGACAATTCATGCACTTCGTCGTGGGATTGACCACGAGTGCTATTGAGTGCAACAGAGTTGCCGTGCGCTTTACACAGAGAGATATTTGACTCTCGAGTTAGCAATAACAAACGCGCAGAGGATGGGTTTGTGTGCGCATATAAGAAGCGAACAGAGCGTCTTTCAAATAAGTGACACTTTAAGCTTGTTCTGCTACTTCAACGTACATATATCTAGAGTCAGCGCTTCTCGGATAAATGCCAACTACATATGCTATCTCTCATCATAAAATTGTCTTTCTTTCTAATATGTGGCCAGCAGACCACGGGTTTAGTAGACCTCTCCTCTTTGAAGTTCCTTCATCTTCATATATGCCGATAATTCCAATCTTATGAGTAATTACATCTACAACAATTTTTTGTGCAGTCGTACCATACTGTAATTATAGTAATCGTATTGTGTTAGGATAAGTACTCAAAATAACAGGACATGCCCAATCAGTAAGCCTCGAGACAACTGTCGTTAGAGTAGTTGCCATATTAGTGCCCATTATCGCTCATTTGGAGAATGCGAGCACGATGTGCTGCTGCTTTTATAGAATCAGGGCCGAGTTTATAGCTATTTCAATCTATCTTGGAATTTGCTTGGAATTTTTCTCAAAGTCTAAATACTTAACGGAAGCAGCTTCGCTCCATCGATGTACTTCGACTTTTGGTATCCAGTTAACCCATTCTCCTAGCTAGGCAAAAATGCGTTCAGACGTGCAGTAACTGCTTCCAAGCTTTACATTCCCGTCCAGCTACGATGGAAGCGTAGTGAGTGCGTCATGTTTATCAGGGATAAGATAGATGTACATTTCTCTTTCCACCCTACAGTCTCTCGTCGAATTGAAGACTTGTGCTATCAAGTGCAACGATGTTACCGTGAAATACAGCCTTGAAAGTCAATTTTCGACTCGTAGAGTCCGCGTTAAGACATTAACAGTTTGGACCGAGCATAAAGTATTGTACTCAAAAATGAGGCGAAGAGCTAAATTTTATAAACTATTTTCTACGTATTATCATTCATATCAAACCTTATAAATTACTCTCGCTGTCCCGTATTATTACATTATCGATGTAACGAAGTGTGGATAGACAGCACATAACTCACATAAATGTCCAAACGGATCCAGTGTTATCGAAGTCAAATCAGATTCTCGCCCTTGATCAATACGGAGTTTACCCCACTATGTGTATATTGGGTACAAAACTCAATACCGAAAGTTAAGGTCGTGGGAGGTAATTGTTGTCAAAACCAGTCCAAAAGTTTGTATCAGTTAAAGCGCAGAAAATTTAAAATTTGTCATTTAAAGCACACGATCTGTACCGCAAGCCGCAAAAAGGTTACAATGTGTTGTATCAAATTAACGGGATCAATACAATAATTGAAAAAATCCAGATGTAGGTTTACGTTTAACGTTATGTTATTAACGAGAAGAAGTAACCATTCGATAACCAAAGTGTCCAAGGGATCTAATGGTTTATTCTATGCATGAGACGCGGACGACTTCGGTATTCGACAGATCAATACGATCTCAATATATGAGGCTCTTTGTATATCATATTGTTGTCGTAGATGTCCTGTATTTGTACTATCTTTTTGTCAGAAGGTTCGTACAAAAGTGGCCATGGAATCAGTGACCAACGTCACCAGATGGGGTAGATGGGTGGGTACGAAGTGGGTTACAATGTACAGTTGTGCTATTTTCATCGGCTTTGCACTACAACAATGCAGTAATTGGGTCATCACATGCTCAGTTTCACGTAAGTTACGATAGCAATGAGCACCACATGTCAAGATGCTTTTATTCATCTATTTGCATTCTTGGACGCAGACCTCAGTAATTTGTACGATTGGTTACGTTCCTTGAACCATGAATCCGGATTCATCATCGAAGACTCTATTGCATGAAGAAGCAGCAGCATTAATTAGCATGAGTGACTCGTATATTCAAGAAGCTGTACATATGTCAAGACATTATACTGGATGTTCACGTCACCCATCTTCTCTTGACTCTTCTCGTTGGAAACGAAGTGCACATGTACGAGATCTTGCAATGTATAAGGAAAGTCAAGCTCGTTGGAGACTTGGTAGTAAACGTAAACTTGGTTCACGATTAGCAGATCAAGACTTTGTCGACGAAAGAACTCGGTTACTTCCAGCTACATTATTGATTGGTACATTTCAAGGAGATTTGGAATCTGTTATGTTTGGCATTCAGACTTTAACTGAAGATGCTACTCGTTTACGAGCATCTTACTTAGGTGATCATCTTGTAGATGAGAGACTATTGGCTAAGCCATTGGAATATCCAAGTTATGAAAATCCGTTATCTTCATGTACTTTACGATGGCGTGGCTTACGCAGTGGAGCGAAAGTAGCATCTGGACAAATCTTTACTTCTCGTACTATTGAGACTGTGTATATTGAGTCGACAGGCATTACAGTTTTTAGCAATGGAGAGCGATTTGGATATGAATTGCTGCAATCAGTTGAGATACCGGAAGTCAATGGCAGTAGGAATCAACATGCTGTGATTTCGTACTGCTATGTATATCGTCAATTAGCAGCAGATGTCATTGAAGTGTTCATGTTGGGATCAACATCACGCGATGGGGTGTTGATTGGAGGAGCAGTAGCCAAGATGCATAGTCTTCATCGACTCGTACGCTGTGCAGAGCACAAGAAACTTGCGTGGCTTTTAAACTCAAGTCATCCGACGTTAGCAAATCTTAAAGGTGGTGGATGTTGTGCTGAGTGCTTTCGATCGTTTGGTCGATGGCCTCATCGTGCTGAACGCCAGTGTAGCGCTTGTGATGAACGTGTATGTGCAAGTTGTACAGAATATCGTCACATGCGCTTTGCACTTCCATTTCGCTCCAAAGTTACACGTTCTAAACTTGCCTTTTGTGGTCGATGTCTCCAACGTGCGAACGAAACGAGTCCATTATTAATTGCTTTGTTTGAAGCAATGGAAGAACTTGAAGCAAACTGTTGTGATCAGGAGGAAAAGTTGAGCTTGGATACTATGGATAGTTCCTTACCCCCATTTTCCCATTGCACAAAGTGGACCAATCTTGACCATGACGACTTAGCCATGACCATCCTAGGTGATCTCTAATCTTCATGAACTATAAGCTCAACTCTCACAGAAAGGTAGAAATATTTATTGACGTGAATACGAAATTCTAAAAGGACTTTTCTACTTTGGTGTCGTTTCGCGGATAGCATTCTAATGTGTGCCTAGTAACGGATATCTATGAACCTTAGACTTGTGCATACTTGCATCGTCCATAGCTGCACAAATAAGCAAAACCAACGCTACATCAACACCAATCGCAATCTCCACGTGATAGAATGGATCTAAAAATTTGGAAAGCCGATTGGTCGTTGGTCGATAGACTTTTGCAATTGCTTCACGACGCCCACCACATCCTTTTTCTAAATACAACACAGCTGCTCGTTGTCTCCAAATACCATGACATCCAATTCGACTTTTACATCCTGTAACTTGGTCCACTACTTCAGCAATTAAAGGGTCTCCTCTTCCAGCAACAAATTTAATCACAAGAGTTGTCAAAACTTTTGTTTGAAGTGACAATCGTTTGCCCAAACAAACGTCGTATAACGCAGCACTTGAATGGTCTCTAGGTCTTAAATGAGCCACAGCAATGCCGTATTCGTCTACGAGCCATTTTGTACATCCATCTGACACTATACCATCGACTGTAGGCACCACACGGAAGAGAATTCGATCAGAATTTGCTTCACAAACTCCATAGCCGTGAATTTCAATCGCATGAGACCAAAAACTATTCGTAAGGACAAGAGTTGTAACACGACGACGACAAAATCGAGGGTTGACAACAAATGGAAATCTCCATTGTGCTTTTAATGGAGTAGCTAAGAATTTCTTCATCGAGAAGGCGATTCCCATGCTTAGAGTAACGACTTACTTCTGACAATTAGATAGATGGACGTCATACTGAATTAGCATTACAGATTCAAATATCTCAAAGGATTGTTTACTGTTTCACATAAACGTTACAAAACGGAGGTGACGTCGTGTTTGTAGGTTACACGGATGTACAAATTCGACTTTAGCATTGACAGCTTGTATTATGGTGCATGTACACATCACATCATGACATCTTACCTAGATGAAGAAGAGATCTGTGGGAGAGGTGGTCACGCTATGCATAGGGTTTACTTTTAATAATGTGATCAGAGAGATATTTGGTATTTATTGAAAGGTTACAAAATTGAAGTTAAGATGAGCAACGAAGTACCTTTCTACTTGAAAAAATCTGGATCTGCTCCTAGAGTGAGCATACAATATTTCTTGTGTGTGAAGTGATTGAAACTGATAGTTTTGTCGTCAAATCGACGACCATATCTATATAAGACTCGATTCTTTGTGAGGAGATTACATTGAGCTCACGATGTGCTCAACTCGTTTCAAAATTTGACCTGGTTTAGCCAGTCGAATCTGCTCGTCTACAAGTTCTAGTCCCCGCGACTTCAAGACAGCCGCTCCGGGTGAATTATATTGAATAGATCATTGGAAGTCACCCGCTGCGCCGCGGTGTAATTCTATAAATCTGTATGTGCAGGTCTTCTGCTCAGTCATAGAGCACTCTTAGACAAATGTGTACACCTATGATGACTTCACATCTGTTTGCAGTTACTGGCAAAATGCCACTGTAATTTATCTCAATTTACGCGCTGGATGAAGACAGCACGCCGTGCAACTCATTTACGGCTTTATAAAACAGATATAAGGCACTTGTTGGATGCACTCTTGAGTGTCGCAATTTGCCTGATTGATTCAAAGCGCTTCAAGACACTTAAAACCATGTTTCTGCTTCAAAGAGAAAGGTATCTCAGGTTCAAGGGGTGCCAAGACATTGATTTGTCTCCAGTAGAGTGCTTCGCAATTTTTGGCTCGAAAGAGTGGGGTGGTGGAACAAATTTGATTTGCCCATGGAATGTACAGGGTATGATTGTCCTCTCTTTAGAATATTGCAACTAAAGCTCGACCCCTTTCTTACTGCGGCCGTAAACTGCCCAATGTAGCGGAATCACAATGTTGTATTATAAATTGCAGACACTGCATGATAGTCCATTAGACGGACGCAGTTTTGGTCCTCCACATGCGTACGGTAATTCCTACATTGTGGTCTTCGTATACCGTCCGAACAAAACGGCCCATGTGCTTCTGTCAGGGCTACCGTTGCCGGTTAGGATATAGTGAAGATGTTTTCTGTAGACTTTTTGCTAACACCACTTGCTGTGGCAATTTCATAGGACCGAGATCTACATTTCACAAATTGAAATCTGGCAGAGGTTTTTTGCGTTAGGCCGGTGTTGTCCACAAAAGACCTCCATAAATCGATCAGACCGAGCGCGTGGTGAAGATTCTCCAATATAGCACTTTTGCGGAGCAGTGGTTCTTCAACTTAAAATATGCTCTACTTTCTTCATTTGAATTTTTAATTTACCCTTCGACCTCCTTTCACCGCTACGAAGGGACTCCAGTCTTGGCGGGATAGTGGCTGTTGGTACGTGTTGATTTGCAAATATCAGTCCGTAATTATTTCATCTTGACAAGGTCAAGCGTCGTTTTCCAAGTATTGCTAAAAGATAACAATTTTTATCAAACACTGTTTACTTAGAGTACTCAATTATGCCAGAGAAATTTCAGTGACTTTCATAGACAGTCAAGAATATTCATTAGTGAGGTCTGGAGCACCAAAATACCACAACCAATCGTTCTCTTCTGCAGTATGTTCTACATTTTGCCTTAATCTTTGTGCTGGAAAGATGGCTGCGTGAAGCTTGCAATGAGCGCTCAAATATTTCCATATATCGTGAGTCTTTCTGACGCGGAAAGGCGGCGCTGAGTGAAGAGCTTTATTCTTTCTCATCAGTCACTACTCGTGCTACACACGGTATAAAGCGACCATGACATCACATTATTCCCTTGGTAAGAGCTATTAACTTTTGAGGAGTCCAAACCGAGGTTGATCGCAAGACGCACAAATGATCCAAGGTATGACCCAAGGCGGGATTCCCGTTACCACGAAGAATAAAAAACCAAGAGGATTTTTGGGTCTAGTCACCTTACTTCTCAATCCAAAGTGTCCTCATTATCGAATCATTTAAGGTGGATAATAAGGTCATCTCCTCCTTCCCTACTGACTAGTATGAAAGATGATTTTATTGTCCTTCCACGTTTCAGGGCGAGATGACTCTTTATGTAGAGAGACTTGCAAATTCTGGGTCTTCCTGGTCAGTCTGTGTGAGAAATTGTACCTTTTGCCCAGCAACCATGAGACTTTACTGCTTCGCACGATGGGTGTGTCGCATGGTATTGTGGACGGAGCAATACCATCAAAGCGCGACAAAAACAGATCATTTTTCAATTCTCGTTGTCTGAACCTTCTTTTCGAACCCACGATCGCCTGTTTCTACAGAGGATTGCCCCGGAGACCATGGCACTAAGCCAATCCAGCTCATCTATGAGGAAGCAAACAATAAAGACCGTGACACACAGTAACTTCATACTGCAGAGACAGAAAAAATAGCTGGTGACCGCTGTAAGCCGCGATTTTTTCATTATACACTTGGAAGATCGCAATAAATGATTGCTGTTTCCGACTCAGCGATTTACTGCCGAGCTTAACCCAGATTCCTTAGCACAATTTTCGCTTCATGACTCACAGTGTATCAGCAGGATGAGATCGTGTCACAAACTCTGATTCGGCACAAGATAGCGTGGAGCGCTGTCAAAGCATATCAACTTTAGAAGGAGGATAAAAACCCTAGATATAATATACTGCAATATGTACAGTTTCGTATCCGTAATCTTAAATTCGCGTATAAATTGTGCAACGCTCATGAATCACCGAAGTTTTTCGCGGATTCGTAAATATCGTTCCTGAAAACCAACAACTTTTGGTTGTAAGCCTTGCCACTTTTCACAACATTTGCTCCCTCTCGGGCAAAGCCCCACCGGTCTCTACCTCTACGACGCGCGATATATCATAGTTCTTTTCAAAACGCACAGAGCGGCCTACTGAAACTAGACGTTTCCCAGCGAGGAAGACGACTTTCGACCTTGCACGGAAGCCCAACCCTTCGCACCTCTCGGCCAGAAGAAATCAGGGGCCGCGCAAAGCGCCCTCTTCGAGGACGACAAATAGCAGAGGCATATAATGTTTCTTGATTTTTGATAAATAAACATTGCGTTGTAATAACCAATTGAAGGGAATGGGTACGGACAGCGAAGCTTGAAAATCACCTCAGTTTTTTTAGGTTCCCGTACACGTGGAGCAGTCTGGCCGCATAAATTTCAGTAAGAGTGCAAATGCTGTTCGAGTTTCGGAGATCAGAAAGCAGCTCTACCATAACAAAAAACACTTGTTAAAACAAAGCCGCAGGGATCGCGCCTTTCTGATTGGTTTGCTTTTACAAGCGCTGAAAGAGCAGTTTGGGAAGAGGACCACAATGTTAAGAAATGCCATGATAGCTGGTCTGAAGTGGAGACGAACTTCCGACTCGATGATATATCGTAAAATTACACTACGCAAAAACTAGTAATAAGACACAATAATTGTGAACCAGTAAGAGTTTCATTGTGGTAGGAAGGGTACGTTCCGTATCATGGTGTACACATTTTGCTATCGTCCCTCGGGGTCAATGGGACGCTTAGAAGCTCCACGACAAAGAACCATGGTGAAGTCTTATCAGTAATAGTGTGGGCTACTAGCCTCACACTGTACTTACGCATGTCTCATTATTATAGAAGGTGGATTACGTAAATTGGGGTTAAATGAATCATAAAACACCACTTTAAAATAAAAGTAAGGCTAAAACTCATTACTTGAGAGAATCTTGGCGTCGCACATGTAACGGTGTCACACGTACCCTTGAATGAAAGGGTGGGTTTTACAAGATGGTGTGACCGTACATAGGTGTAATTTACACAAGTTGGTGTTATCACACAATGATGTGGCTACACCGTAACAAGAAGCCATACGTGGCGGGACTGCCAGTAGTCATGCATATTAATTAAGTTTTACTATTTAATTAGAATATCAAATGTTTTAGATATAGGCGGCTCTGCCGCAAATAAATACAGTCTTAATTTTGAACGCAAGAGTACATTTACCTTGGGCTACAATTTTGGGTATTCTTGGAGGTAGCGGATTGCGATCTGCTACACTCGTACTGGTCCTAGTATTGAACGTAAGGTTGGTGACCTTAGCTTAGATTCCTCTTAGCAAAGTGCTACGGCAGCAGGGCGGTGATGAGGCACGCTAAAGCAGAAGGCAATAAAAACTCTAGCAGCTTTCACAGAGTCTACTATTGTGCTAAGAGGACTAAGACGGAGTTAGTCTCGTGTTGTGGATACGAGAGGTTAATGTGACCAAGAATTCAGTTCAATTTTAGACTGAAAAACATCTAGGAAGCATTTATTTGCTAGAAGGCTGCGCGTCAGAATGAACAGTCTTGTGCAGCACCTCAGTAAAGATGGCTATCCTGATTTATATACTTCTCAGCTGAAAGTTGTTCTGAGTTGAACCGCGGAAACGGGCTTAACGTTTACTTTTAAGATACCTGTCAAAGAAATCGACAATTGGTGATCAATGTCCGAAAGCTGAGAGCAGTTTTGCCGTCATGTTGGCTGACCGTATTTCAAAATTGGTGACGATTGCCGTATGTATAGAATGTCTTAGATTTCTTTGTATAGGTGCTCGCTCCCAGAGACTATGCATCTCTGCAGCGATTACTTGTATCTCTAATCTAAAGGGACCTTAACGACGATAACTCTACCATATTAAATACCCGTGTCATTTGTAAGCATACTTAGGATATAAAAGGTACATAAAGCAAGTCAGTAAGAAGCTGTGATGCCTGTAAGCGATACCAAAAGTCTTTGTGCGACCCTGAGACTGGCGAATGCAATTGCAAGAATGTGCGTTGGAGGCAAGTGCTAGCTGACAATTTAACCCCCACGGAACTTAAACTTATATCTTGAGTGTATTGCATTCAGAAATCAACCGTGAGGTGACCGTAGGAAATGCTATTTGTGAGCAGATACGCCTCGTTCAGAATCAAAAATTAAAATGTTATACCCTCAACTCTATTATTGAGCTTTTAATCGCTTGCTGGGTTTAACAAGAAATTAGCATTCGCTGTGCCCTTGCATTTCTTCCGCTTTTTTCTAGGTATGTCAAGAAAAAAAGAAGAGAAAAGGAAGAGAGCAAAAGAGGCTTTGCTACTGGGGGACTTGTGTGTGACCAGCGTATAGTGACTTCTTTCCACTGTAGTATGGATGCTCTCCATGCTCCTTACGATAGCCATGGAAAAGCTGTGTACCTCCTCATAAAGAAAATTGGTGAGCAGCTGTCGCAATTGCAACGAAATATCTATACACACCGTGGATTCCTTGTTTTTGGGAAACTTGTAGAACAGACAAGTTTTGTCCCGGCTACCTGTTCTCATTCTAAAACGAAAGAGCTGGCGCCACCGTTGAATTGTGAAATCAACATCTTCATTTGATTATACAACATTTTACGAGTCATGTCGTCGAGGATGTAAATAATGTCGTGTTTCATAACAAATGACGGGGATCAAGTCCATCATCGTTTGTTGTTTCTGCTCTGTCACGATTGCACAAAACGGCAGTGAGCTAAATCGACAATTTCGCAAGTGTGTAGAAAATATTGTTGGATCAGGGACCACTTGAAAGTCTTGCTCTCCAACTGATGTAAATATCATAGCGTACATTTCGGCGAAACGATTCATCCGCTTTCAATTTAACAAAGCAAAAGACACAACGATGCATTAAGAGTATCATGGGGTTTCATTTAGATTGCAGTAGAATAGCTTCAAGCCCTATCCGTGTATGCAGATCAGATATTGCCAATAAGAAAGTTTATGGCCTCTGCCGCAATATAGAGCATCATCTTTGTGTTGAGGATAGCGCATTACTCACAAAAGCGTACGCGGTCGCTGTTCGTATATGGCGAACTGATCGAGTGAAAGCCATTTCGTCTTCAGAAAAAGGAGCTTTGACCGCAATTTATTTACGTGATGACCTCTTCGAACGTTTTCTTAATTTTGATATGAAAAGATTGATTGGTTTCAAGCCTCATTACACTGCAGGGTAGCAAGAGCAATCATTCAGTCTTCTCGATTGTATTATCGGCTCATAACCTATATGGCAGCAAAGCTGCCTGGAATCATAAACAATTGCAGTTTAAACGCTGACCGGACCAGTAGAGCGTCTCTCGATGTGGCATCGTTTACTGACTTGATCGTTTGAGAAAGGCAAACAAGAGTAACTTTCATTGCATTGACGCCTTTCGTGCAAACGTAAGGCCTCTAAACAACTTTACGGGCAGAATTGCGAAGACCGCTTATCTACTTACTAAAAAATCTAATTTGCAGTACATGTTTCGTGCAGATCGTGTCATCCGTCTTCTAAAGTACGAATAGACAGAATGCTTTAAAAAGCCTAAACAACGTCGTAGCGACGCGATTTACTTCGTGCTTGCCTTAGTCGAATTATCAAGTCAGTGAAAAGCTGCCACGTCGAAAAGCCTTCGATTTGTCGGAGACCCTTCAAAGGGTATGCACATTCGAAATGCATTGTATTAATCATACAAGATTTTAAGGTCATGCTATTTAATAATCGAGATTTATAATCTCATTATGCATTAACGACCGAAGAGTATGTCCGTGCTATATATTGATCCAGCTCAAAATTTACCATTAATCGTTATTTTGTTTTGCGCTTCGAAATTTATAACTCATAATTTTTTCTTTTTTTGCCAGTAAATTATGAATCTATCGAGGGCTGAACCACGCCTGTAAGAATGACCGTTACAGAAATAGGGGAAGCCTTTCTTCTTACAATCTGGCTATCTCTAACATTTACAACGAACAAGAAAACTTTTTGTCATCCTGTTTAGTAATTAAAGGTCAACTAACTTTACTTGATGTGATTTATGTGCCTCTCGCTTTTGTCGCAGCGTACTCATCTTCTAGAATTAACTATTGGTTTTGCAAGGGTTTTGTCTTCAAGGTTGTATTCCACAACGACCCTACAAATGTTAAACGGTCTAGAGCTTAATAACGACCAACAGTCTGACATATAGAATAGTTTAAAATAGGAGGAACTCGTGGTGCGAAAGATTAATTGTGATCTAGCATTGGATAATATTTTGGGATCAGTTTCACTGATAGTTTAGACAGTGCTATAAGTATCCATCCCGCAGCCTACACGTCATGCATGCATGCACCTGTGCCTCTAGCCGTCGGCTAGCCGTTATATCTGGTTGGGGTACGACCCCGTCGCTGCTTTGTTGCGTGCCCGTGTTGCACAACGCATAGTGTGGGATTGCAGTCTGCAACTATACGAAAAGTTGCGATTGGTTGAAAAGTAAAGCCTGCTTAAGTGCGATGGGCGATTTCTGTCAAATCTCACGGACGAGGTCACGACGACCATCACTATAAATTTAATATAACCTTATTATATTTTGACGTGATTTCACCCCTTCGATACCCTGCTAGGCTCCCGCCCACCTCTTTGCTCCGCCAGAATCGGATTTCCAAGCTTCAGCTCAAGCGTGTTCTCTCACTTTCTTTCTTTCTTTTAAAATGGACCGTGACTCTCTTGTATTCCTCGCAAAGTTAGCCGAGCAGGCCGAGCGTTATGATGAGATGGTTGACCACATGAAGGCCGTCGCTAATAACCACAACGTCGAGCTTACTGTAGAGGAGCGCAATTTGCTGTCCGTCGCGTACAAGAATGTAATTGGTTCACGTCGTGCGTCGTGGCGCGTCATCTCATCTATTGAGAACAAAGGTGATTCGGAGCGCAGCGAACACATTAAGGCGTACCGTCAGAAGATTGAGGGTGAGCTTGTGGATATCTGTAACGACATCTTGACCATTATTGAGAACAACCTCATCCCCAACTCATCGAGCGAAGAGGGCAAGGTCTTTTACTACAAGATGAAGGGCGACTATCATCGCTACTTGGCTGAATTCCAGGTTGACGACGAGCGTAAGGAGTCTTCAGACAAAGCCCTTGAGAGTTACAAGCAAGCTTCGACCATTGCAATGGCCGAGCTCCCCCCAACCCACCCCATTCGTTTGGGTCTGGCTCTTAATTTCTCCGTGTTCTACTATGAGATCTTAAACTCGCCAGATCGTGCTTGTAACTTGGCCAAGCAAGCTTTCGACGATGCGATTGCTGAGTTGGATACACTTTCTGAGGAAAGCTACAAGGACAGCACATTGATTATGCAGCTATTGCGTGACAATTTGACACTGTGGACTTCGGACCAAGAACCTGATAACGCAGATGCGAATCAGGGTGACATGAATGTGCAAGATGTAGAATAATTGCCGTGCGGCTCGTAAGTTTTAGGCATCCTATCTTAGCTGTTAGTAGTATTTTAGCAGAAAGTCTCCGTTGTGTCTACGTCTGAGATTGCAGGGGAATGAGAGGCCGCAGCTGCATTTGTTGGCCTCCTCCCTTTGCAATTCAACGATCGACGTGTCCGTCAACTTGACCTTTTGACACCACTCACAGATATTTAGTGCTTAAAAAATGTTAGATAGAACTATTTCACGTTAATCTAACGCCTTGCTTCTTTGTCTCAACGTCTGAAAAATATATAAAGGTGTTCGGCGTGTTCCAGTTGTCCTTAATGAATTCGCTGAATTAGCTGACAAAAAACTTGAGAATTCTAAAGATCTTTTGCGTGAATGGCACGCATAAAATATTTTCGGCCAATCAAAAAATGTTTCTGACTGACATACCTATGCTCAAAGCATCCTCGCAGCTTTGTGATGCCGCGGCTTTCAAGGAAGCGGCTTAAGCTGCGTTAGCTGTGTAAAATAGCCACCGTTTGGGAATCAGCTGCTGTAATAAGAGATATTCTTAGTGAAGTGGTTTCTGACAAAAATGACGAGGAAACCTTGAAATTTGAATTAAGATTGTGGGTAATGCCAAGCGCCATCGATTAGAAAAACCTGTTAATCTATAGTGCTGCGTGCTCTGAAAAGTATGCACAACACGAGCGGCCATACTTAAGAGGCAATTTGTCGTCAAGACTGTACAACTTGCTTTGTCATTGCGAGGTGTCTCGATGCTCTTCGAGCAGCCCACTTCCATCTGGCACTTGACATTTAAATAGGGAGAAAAATTATGTTTTTTTGCTATGATTTCCCAAATTCTTTTAAATTTGCAGAACTTGACAAGTTGAAGTCCGCACGCTTACCATTTCCGCATTTTCCAAGCCAGAAGAAAGTATAAACAAAATAGCGATGCTGGAAACACCATTTGTCATAAAAGATGCACCGACATCGCAAGATACCAAGAAACTTGTCCCAATGTCACTGAGTCTGTGCGTGAAAATTGCCAATACGATGTTCATCGATCGAATCAGTGAATCATTGTTTACAGAGTCGTCAAAAAGGAGAAGATTTTGCAGATGAAGGCAGCCAAGCTAGATAAACTATTATCTCAGCGCAAAAATATACTCGACGATTTGCAAAAATGTCATGAAAACTTGCTTATGAAAAACGGCCAACTGCAGTACGTGGTTTCATCTTGATCGCCTGACCGATGCTGAAATAATTGTTTGTCAGAGAGAGAAGTCACTTGCGGCGAGATAAGCTGGCGTCGTTGCGGGCGTTCCTAGAAGAGCACTGTAGAGATGACAGACCGGCTCTCTGTGATGCTATCGGAGCCAATGAACTTACAGCTATTGCTGAAAAATGCTATTTGATGAAAGATGTCTTGTTCGGGTTGGCAGACAAGCGAGCTGGGCTAGAGCAGCAATGTATGGAGTTTGAAGAGCACATGACGCGAGAAAAGGGATATGTGGAAGCAAGAGCGGAACGTCTATGCGAAGGTATGGTGTCAGAGTTAGACTAATCATTTCACTGTTATATGTTGCTGATTCTTTGTGCTATTATAGCTCGAAGCACGCTTGGCCTTTTGCTTGAAGACATGAAGTCGACTCAGTGGAATATCGCGGTAACAATGCTGCAACTTAATTTTTTTTTCCGTGTCGTGCGTGACTGGTGAGCCATGATATTAGAGTGACCAAGTCAAGCTTGACAACGAAGAACACTACCTTAATGCGATCAGAGAGAAGATGCGTTGTCAAAATGTGATAGTAGAAGAGTACGATTTCACTTTCAAAGCCAAAAAAGCTGAATTTGGGGATGTGGAGACGGCAAGTCATTCAGTTTCGTGTTGTTGGGTCTCATTGGCTTGTTAACCCAAACGTGAAACAGGCATGGCATAATTACGAGTGCATGGTCCAAGAAGAGTACCGTCATCTTATGATTGCAAACGAAGATGCGAGAAGGTTCATTTCATTTCAAGTTATTTCTCCCAATTTGCTGACAAGCACATGCAGTATACAGCAAGAGTTTCAAAAGCTGCTTGAAGAAAACGGAGTACGAAATTAAGCTATTTCTTAATTGATCTGCAAGATTATGATTTTAAACATTTTAAAAGGCAACATGCCTGGTCGATAAAGAAGAATTCCAATTAGCAAATGATCTGCGAATTCGCCAGCATGAACTCAGCGTAGGCAAAGACTCTTCGATTTATAGTATGTTATACTAAAGGTGTTCCTCACATGTTTCAGGAAAAGCTAGCAAATGTTAAGATGTCTAAGCGGGAGCTGGGACTGCGACAAAAGCAAGAAAAGCGTATGCTTGCAATAACACAATCAAGCATGAAGGTATGCAAATCAATCAAATTATCCAATCCTTACACCAGATTCATATATATTTTTGGAACCATTTGACTAGGCAAAAATTGATCAGCTGACTTGGCTGAACCGTCAGTGCGTCCAATTTACACTCGAGAAAAATGAAGCAACCAGGGTGTATAGTGCTCACGAAGCTGGTAACCTTGTGGATAATCAGGCACTGCTATGTGATTGGCTAACAAAAGTGTTGCCCTTAGCGTATAGTAGCTTCAGAGAGAATCACAATGTGGCGATGACTACATTGGATTTACAGATTAAAGATGCTGAGAAGCACATCAAAACTACTGAGCGTGCTATCGTCACTCGTAATAAGAAAGTGTCAGCTTTAAATAAAAAGGTTTTACAGAGAACCAGGATTTTACAGGAATGGCAAGCAAAGATGAATGAAAAGCAAGATGCTGTACTAAAGTTGGCACCTATCCAAGAGCTTTTGAATGCTGAAAATCTAAGCTTGCAAGAAGCGCTAGAGTGTGCGCAGCGTCGTGAAGAGGAACTTCAACAACTTAACACTTCACAAGAAGTGGAGTCTCTGAAGCTGCGTGAATCTTGTGCGGCGTTAGAGGCTGAAATTCAGCAAATGCACACAACCATGTCAATGCTGAACGATAGAATTCATTGTATTCAAACTGTCGTGAAAAACCGCATTGATGACATCCGCGAGAAATTTTTACATGGGTTTGTCGCCGACGATGCCAAAAATCTGAGGCAGTTGCTGGACAAAGAGGTACGCATACACAAAGAAGGCAAAGCATGATTTTCTAAACCGTTGTTTTTCTTGCCTAGATTATCAGTTGGGTAAAAAAGGCTACAGACGAGGTAAATGCAGCAGTTGCATGCGAGGTACCCAAGGTAGGACAACAGCTTTTTCTGCCAATTTTGAGACTTCTTGACTGACTCATGCCAATTTTTCAGCTAAAAGAGAAATACAAAATTTTGGCGGCCGAAACCCGCAAGAAATTTGGCAAAATGACAAAGCAAAAGGTATACTTAAATGCTTATCATCATCCTTACGGTCAAACTGACTTTCGATTCGCCTCAGGAAAAAGACTACAAGGCCAAGATAGATAAATTGAAGACATTGGGGGAGAGGAATACGATCACTTCAATTGGTACACAAGGCAAGATAGCGAATCAAGCCCACCAAGACAATTATACAACCGACCATGATGAAAAAAATGAGACGAGGAAATTATTCGAGTCTGATGATAAATCTAATGAGGCCAAAATGTGCCGGCTCGTTAGAAATGAAACCGGTGTTTGCAAAGTATGTTTGCTTACAATAGGAATTGCCTGGCTGTAGTACTGATACATAAATTTTTGTCAATGGTTCAGCAATCCTCATCAGCCGAACAACCTTCGTCTCAGTCACATTCAACACAACGAAAAGCAAAGGAAGAGTCAGAACAAGCTCCAAAATCTGCTCGACGTCAGCTCGCACTTGGTTTGACTTTGGTTGATGAGTCACACGGGAAGACCAAGGAGAGAAAAGATGTCTTCAGCGCTGAAACGGCAGCAGCCAGTTTGTGTCAAAGGGACGATCCTGGAGTAACTACATATGAGAAGCAGCGGAGTAGATGCAATGTTGCCCGTCATTCACGACTGAAAAGGCGCTCACAAGCGCAAAAAACAGGAAAGACAGCCGCTATGATAATTCCTCCCGAGCTGCCTGTTGTAATTGAGAAAAGTTGCGATGTAACACGCCTTCACCAGGATGTCATCGAAATGGAAGCGCTCTACCATCGTGAGTCTCCAGTCGGCTGTGACGACAACTTTGCGGTATCGACCCCGGCAAAATTCACGGATACTGTGAAGACAACATCTACGATCGCAAGTCAAGGTGCCGCCAAGAAGCAACCCAAGCAAAAGGTAAGTTACCGATGAAGACTTTACTCAGAAAACTTTGCTTACACACACGGAACGATACAGGTAAGAAAAGGAACCAGTAAGCGTCGCACATCGACGAAAGCTTCGCACCGATCTCGTCAAGCCAAGTGGGGTCATTGCAATCTCGGGCACTCACAACTTGGTGTTCGCTCCGTGGACTGGTCTGCTGCCGACACATTCTCCTTCGACTGACTGAGAATATAGGTCATTTCTTTTCATATTTACTAGCACGATTACACATTCGCACTGCGTTAAAGTTGTTACATGCGAGTGGTCGTAAGTTATGGGGTGGCAGCCATTTAAGCTTTTTCTTTTTAACTATCTATTGAAAGAAATGAGCTCTTTGCAGCCACAAAGTACCTTATGAACTTTAAAACAAGATAAACATTTAACTTTTGGCACAATATATAAACAATGCTTTCCTCGAAACTTCGCTTGACGTATTCCAAGCCCCTGAGTAATGCCGCCTCGGTAACCGCAATCTTTTCTGCCATGGGCATTGCCAGTATCTCGACCGCAGCACGCAACGCTGAGGAACCAAAGATAGCGCTAAACCCTAAAGAGTTTCGTTCGTTCAAAGTGACCAAAGTGGAAGATGTGACTCATGACACCAAGCGCCTTGTTTTTGCCTTGCCTAGCAAGGAGCATTCGATGGGTATTACCGTCGCCGGCTGCCTGATGGCCAAGGCAAGCGTAAATGGTGAAAATGTCGTACGCCCATACACACCTACTAATACGAATGCCGAGAAAGGGGAGCTCGAACTCGTGGTCAAAGGTTACCCGAACGGCAAACTGAGCAAGCACATCGTCAATCTGAGCGTGGGGGATGAACTAGCGATGAAGGGACCGTTTCTTAAGTTTGAGTACAAGCCGAATATGTATAAGAGCATCGGTTTTCTTTGTGGTGGCTCTGGTATTACTCCTGCTCTTCAGGTTATAAAGGAGGTTTGCCGTAATCCAGACGATGAGACACAGGTCGTTCTTATCTTTTGCAATCGGACTGAGAAAGATATTATTCTTCGCGACGAACTGGATGCGCTACAGTACATGTACCCGCAGTTTCAAGTACATTATGTTGTAAACAATGCTGATGCCAACTGGAAGGGTTATACGGGCTATGTGACCAAAAAAATGGTTGAGGAGCTGCTTCCTAGTCCATCGGACGAAAACCTGATTGGTGTATGCGGCCCCCCTCCAATGATGGATGCCATCTCCGGCAACAAGAATCCCGACCGAACTCAGGGCGAGCTGAAGGGTTTGCTAAAAGAAGTGGGCTATTCTAGCAACCAGGTATACAAGTACTAAGCCTCAAGTACCCATTCCTTAAAATGTGGGCAGTGAGTAATTTTAGCTGATTGATTATAAAAGTTTAGCATACAGCACTATATTACGTTATACTTCGATGTTTTTGCTACGTGCGTTTCATCCATGCAATTTCGCTTCAAACCTTTTAGAAAAAAAACGTCTGTTTAAAAGAGGCTTATTACTTTTCAGAACACATTGCGGTATTCGTTGTGCTCGAGGTGCATTAATTATTGTAACTGGAAATGGTGAATGAACAATTTCCTCTTTGCTACGACCGATGTAGCCTGTTTCCACCTTAGTCTTCTAGGATGCAGACAGGTAGACTATCTCCTTTCGATGCAATTTTCTCCCACCGCATGTTCATGTGTGCTCAGTCTATCACTGGCTTCTGCTTTTGCGCATTCTATCCCCGACCATAACGTTGCGCACAAGGTACACGACGATCAATCACAATGAGATAGAACCCGTGATTCTGTTACGAAGTGTAGCCGGAATGAAATTAGCAGGTGAACTTAATTAATGACCCACCTGCCCATATTGTGGCGGTGTCAAAACTAGCCAAGGCCAGACAACCATTTCTACTGAGGTAGAGCTTGTAAAGGAATATGCCGCGTTGACGATCTCGAGCTCAATGAGTGAGAGAAATTTACCCCAGCACCGCGATTTCTCCGCGCAAGTGCTTTGATGTATACCCATCACCGATCTTGTACATTCCGTCTGATCGATTGTCTGTGGATTATCAGCGGTATGCTAAGCACATTGGACAAAGTTCGCCAGCGATTTGCCGTATATTGCAAGGCTCGATCCGATACAACAGCCCCCAAGCAATATTGCCAATAATTATTGTCAACGGTCAATTACGCCGTATCCTTAATGGTAACTGTGTTGCTGACAGCAGCAACATCAACCATTCTAACAGAAGGTTCACCCCCGTAATACCGCAATTACATAACGGGGTTACATGAGAGTGACTTTCCCCATTTGAACGACTCTCAGTTTGAGTCCGTTCGGAAGATGGCAGGCAC